TAAATTAAAGATCCAGTAGTGGTTCAATGACAAACATCATTTCATGTAGTAGGAAATGAGTTTGTAAAATATTTGTCCACAATACCACTGTTTTTTTATGATGTGAAAAAATTACTTAAAAAAAAAAAACACCACAAAATAATGTATAGCAGAAAGTTACTATAAGCTATGGCACCTTTTGACAGACACCAGGTCACTGAAATAGCAGTAAATACATTTCCCATTTCAGAGATATTGAAGGAGCAATGTTAGGGCATTATTTTTGGCCCCAGAATATATAGATATCATCCATCCATTATCTATATCGCTTATTCCTGGACGTCCTGAATGTCAGCTGGAGCCAATCCCAGCTGACATTGGGCAAGAGGCAGGGTACACCCTGGACAGGTTGGCAGTCTATCACAGGGCTGACATGTAGACAAACAACACACATTCACACTCACTGTTATGGACAATTAAGAGTCACCAGTCAACCTAAGCTGCATGTCTTTGGACAGTGGGAGGAAGCTGGAGTACCTGGAGATAACTCACGCAGGCACAGGGAGAACATGCAATCTCCACACAGAAAGGCCCCAGGTCGGCCCGGGCTCAGCCCCGGATATAGATAGTATATATGTATATATAAAATATTCATTCCATGCCATTTCATGCATTTCTTAACATTTGGCACAGTGCCCTAAATGCTGCTATGTACTATTTTTGTCACACCTATTACATGTGGTACATGTTGTGTGACGCTGAACATTAGTGATTTGTCAAGCAATAATAACTCTGAATAAAGCAATTAAGATTCATTATGTATAATATATATTCTGTACAGGTGTTTTAAAACAAAAATATTGGCACTGATCTATACATGGTATTTAACGGATATGGCCAGTCATTTTCTATTTTAACAGTATACCCACAATACTGTTGATCCCCACACTGAGACTAAAACAAACAATGAATTGCCTCTACTCGCTGTTAATGACTGTCAATGTGTCAGCCCCTATACAGTCAATGGTTAGCCCTGGATTAGCTTATTCGTCTGTGCCCTAGTCCTCCATTGTTGTTCAGAAGCAATTAAAAACAAATCAGTGAAACACACTGCTGCACTTGGTGACACATTTCCTCATTATGAAACACAAGACCTTGATATTTGATAATAAAATCCAGAAATTGTGTTAATGGACCCTTGACTCTTGCTTACTTCAGACACCTTAAAACGCTATCGCCATTCAGAGCCTTTGGAGAAAAATTTAGAGTGTGAGTGGTGGTGGTGGTGGTGAGGGGTACATAATAGGCAGTTTAAAGAGCTGTACAAGTCTTTGTAGAGTTTAGATAGTACATCTAGGCTAATGTTTCAAATTTGCCATATTTGTAGTGCTTCAGCACACCTACAAAGTCTAATCAAAAAACGGGCACAGGGGTGGAGCGTGAGGGGGCACCAAAATCATAGTATCTCTGGTATATGGTTGAGTTTTAGGGGTTAATTTAAACAAAACACTGCTGATTTGCCCCATTTGGCTGTTAAAATTATGTTGCCTGGAGGGAAATCGTCACCTATATGTAGCAACTAATCCTAAGTTAAAGGAGTAATTTGACACTGTGGGAAATATAAGATAGATATTAGACTGATTCCACTCTCATGTCTGCTTAACTTAGTTTATCATAAAGACTGGAAGCAAGGGTAAACAGTTAGCATGGCTCTGCCCCAAGAAGAAAGTCTGCCTACCAGCAACTCTACAGATTAGTAGATAAGACATTGATTCTTGTTTGGTTTTTGTATGGATTAAACAAAGTGCAAATACAACAGTTCAGTTTTGTAAGAGAGGTTATGTGTAGGACCATTTCTTGACTGGGACCAGTGAACTTCTTGGAGTCTACAGGCAACTGGTCCCAGCCAAGAAATCTAAATTATAACATGTTAATTTGTGAGCTTTAGAGGAGTCGGCAGCAGCTTTTTCCACCTTTGGACAGAGCCGGGCTACAGTAGCTGTTTACCTGCCTCCAGCCTTTATGGTAAAGTAAGCCAAGCCTACTGTTCAGATACAAGGCTGGTATCGACCTTCTCATCCAACTCTTGGTAAAACAGTAAATAATCCTACTTCCCAAAATGTCAAACTGTTTCTTTAACAATATACAAATAGTTCTCCTGGAAAATAATTCCACTCAGATCAAGTCGAGTTTACTGACATCGCATTACATGATTGTTGGGTAATGACATCTTTAAAATATTCAATAACTGAATGTCAAGCTACAGGAGTCACTCACAACAGGCTAGTAACACAGTATCTAATAACAGACTGTAACAGCCAGACTACTGTAACACTGCCAAAAAGAGGGAACAGGTAAAAATATGTCAGTGGGATACATTTAATTTTCAAGCCAAGTGTATATGATTGCATAACATAAGTCAGTTTGTGTGTATGAGCTGGGTGGGTGATGGTAAGGCTAACAAGGATCTGAGGAGGATTGAATTGTGATGAGGCTATAGTTGCCTGATGGGGGGAAGGGTAAGGGTGTCCAGAGCACTGTGGTAGAGCTCTCTCAGTGCTCTCAGCAGACACAGACGACAAAACATCTGGTTAAAGAGATGAGGCAACGGCTCCTGAAAAGAAGGGAAAGACAACAGAAAGCATGTGTAAGAATGTAGACATTCATACACAAAAACAAAGACTCACTGTAGGAGTTTATCTCCTGCGCTTATAATTTCACTCCAGTACATCAATACATGTATACACATTGTGTTTTTTAAATCACAACATATCTATTATGTAAGCCAATATAATCAATGTCCTAAATGGAAACATACAAATATATAAATACAGTACTGCCTCACCCCCAGCACATGGACTCTGTTGTAGTAGGAGCTGAAATCTTTACTGAGAGACACGAGAAATTTACAGATCTGAGGAACACAAACATATTTAAACAGTTACAACAGCAGGCTTTAGTTTAGGCACACTATTGACTGCTTACCTGTTAATATAAATCCTCCTACCTGTTCTGTCTTAATACTGACTCTGGCTCCTCCTCCTTCACTCTCTAACGCTTGTCCTGATTGGTCCAGCAGCTCCGAGAATGGAATGAGGTAATTGAACAACAGAAGCCACTCGCCCTTGTCAGTCACAACACAGAGCATGATAGCATCAACACTGAAATGTTGCTGTCAGAACTATCAAAGTTGGTAGTAAAATGTCTTTTTAATAGAAAGGAAAAGCAACGTAAAGCTAAAGACATGAAAGCAGAGACGGAACTAGAATAGCACCTCTTCTTTCAGAGCAGAGAAGTCCAGCTGGGAGCCTTCAGGGATTTCTGGGTACAGACCTGTAGATGAACAGTCCAGAAAACTACATGAATATATATGTCAATCCTCAGATTTAATCTTGTGACAAGTCAATAATGGGCTTAGATCACATATAGTATAATTTTTCATTTACATTCAGAATGTTGTATGTAGTAACTTAAACTTTTGAAATTCAGTTTTCAGGATGCCTTTCTGACTATTTATGACAAAGTGCGTCTGGGAATTTTTGTGTATTATATAGGAGTATCTATATAGGGAGTGATTTTTGACACAGCCAGTGAATACAGCAACAAGAATGGCTGTGGTACTAACTGCAGTTTCAATAATGATCTTCATTAAAAACTAAATGCATAATAAGAAAAGTCTGTAGTTTATCACTTGTGGAACATTTCAACATCTGTAGGTAATTATCACGTTCATTGCAAAAACAAGTGTAACTTTCATAAATCACTAAGACGATTGCTGAAAAGACCGTCAGCCTCTACTGACCATTGTCCTGCATTTTACACAGTTTACCAACACTGCAAAACTGGCATGAAATATATCCCGGTCTCATTTGATTCTACAGTAAACATTTATATTGATTTTTAAACAAATGTTTCATAATTCAATGCTTTGTTTTACATTGGAAAAACTAAGTTCAGCTGTAACTCAGTAGACCATAACACTACCACTGGACTTTTATGATGGTCAACTCCTGCATTTGTTTTCCCCACATCTCTTTGTCACTCTGGGGTAAAGTGAACACTGCCAGACCACAGCAGTCTGAGTTACTGGTTGTTTATAATGTTGTTGATGAAAGAAATGAAACAAGAACCTCCTGCACATCTCTCACCTTTCTCCACTCCTCTTTCATAGCTGTCAAACAGAGTGTGCAGTCTGGCGCAGTTATACATCACAAAAACCCCTCCTCTCGGCCCTTTGGTGGACACGCCCCCCTCTCTCTGGACGTCCAGTGTCACCTAAAAAAGGCCACTGTTAATCATTCTGATTCAGCTAAATACATTAGGAACTGTCATCACTTTTATGACTGATAAACTCACCAAATCAAACATAGACTTTCTTAATTAATCAATATGGGACAAATCCACTGTAGTCGTGAACACACATCTGTAATGATAACTCACAGGACTGGTGTGCACTGTAGACAGCAGCTCAAATCTGACAGTGGCAGAGGTCATGACCCTGATGATGTCATCCCACGTCTGACCTACAGGGGAAGGAGAGGGAGGCGGTATTTCACACCATTAATTTCATCTGTAGTCAATGGTAATTAGTGTCAGGGAGGTCAGTTTCTTAAGTGAAGATCATATGATTAACAATGAGCATGTACGTAAACACAGACCTTCTACTTGATCTCCATACTTCATCTCTGAGGCCTCCTTCATCTGACCTCTTCTCAGCCTGGAGGAGAGGAGCAAGACAAAGTGTTAAAAGCCTCATTTGCAAAAACAACTGGGCTAAAAATATATTGTAATAAAACAGATGAAGAACTCCGACATCAACACCCATTAGTGTTCTTTTAATTTAGTTTTATTAGAACTTCAATTTTAGAGCACAGAGAAGAGCCTGGTGAGAGTGTCTGTGGTGATAATAGGCATGTGTCTGGTGGAGAGCCAGGCAGGGAGAGTGGAGGTGGGGAAGGAGAATGGGACAGGGGAGATAAGTTGAGACAGCAGAGGGTAGAGGAAGTAGAGAGGATACACAGCCCTTCACAAAAAGTGACGTGTCTTACTGCAGGTACTGTGCAGCGGTGAGGTGGGAACCAGGCGTCTTCACGGGCCCACACACCAGATGTCTCTGCAGACACACAGCAGGACAGGTAAAAATAGGAATACAGTGGAGGACATGATAATGCATATGCATGTGCGTGGTTACCTGTGTGTGTGTCGCTCCACTGGCTCTCCACAGCATTGCAATCTGCTGCTGGCGAAACTCATCCTGACAGGAAGTCACATGTAACGCTGTCACTATGGCTACCTGTGAAAATGCAAAAAGGGTATACAAATCAGTGCTTTGTTTGCCTGTAATTGTCAGTGTGTGTTTGTATTGTGCATATTTGTGCGTGTCTCACTGTGCAGTCGGCTGTGGCTAGGTCCAGTTGTGCCAGGTGGGAAACACTGTCTCTGTGTACTGAAACACATTTATCAACAAACTAACAAGGTCAAGTGTCTGTTATTCTACTAATCTTTTGTCTCAGCTAAAGCAAACGTTGTATACAACAGGATATTTTGAAAGCCTCAGTACATGTAACCAAATCATCATGCTAATGACTGAAAAAACAGCAGCACAGCATAAACGCGCCTCTACAATATAACCATAAACCGCAACTAAACTCTACAGTTTTGGAAATTTTGGTTACTTTGGATTGTTGTAACCTTACCTGTGCAGGTACCAAGACTAGGATCGTATCCCTGAAGCCCTTCCTCCAGGAACACTCGTTTCAGGTTGACTCTTAGCACTCCCTCCTTCTCCCCCTCCTCCGCCTTCCTCACCCCCCCTCCGCTGGTTCTCCTGCCTCTCTCTGTTTCCCTTTCCCTGTACGGTGAGTTCTCCAGGGCCTCCTGGATCTTTTCCTCCCGCTCCTCGTTCGTCCAGTTGGCTGGAGCTGTAGGCCAGTCAATTCCCAGAGCCCGGAGAAAGGCGATGATGTCACTGTCTTCAGGAACCGTGGGACAAAAGAACACTGCAAACCTGACACAGGTAAGGAGATGGGTTCTGATCACAGCAGCAGTTTTACTCTACAGCTGCCATTGTAAAATCAACTGTCATTTATTTTTTTGCAATGAATTGATGACTTATTTCCTTTAATATGTCAAAAAATTGTCAGAGCTCAAAAAAATTAAAAATGTGGTTAGTTAAAATACTTAATATATAATATGTAATATAAAACAGAAAATGCAGCAAATTTTACAAGCAGAAATCAGCCAGTGTTTCACTGTGTTTCTTGATAACCAAATTATTATTTGGCAGCGGATAGTTTTAGCACTAGATCAATTATTAAGAATAGGTCAGAAATAAAGCTCAAAGGAGTTTGAGAGTAACTTACAGAAAGTGGATGGACAGTTTAGGAGAGGATGTAAAAATCAGTGTTTTTACTATATTTTTACAGTAAACATACTACCTACAGTATGTATTTACCCTACAGATCATTTGAGCATATCCTTCTGTTCACAAGCTCCATTTGTCATGCTCAAATAAACCCAGCGACTCACCCCTGTCTTCTCAACAGTGCACCCATGTGGTCAGCCACCAGAACAGTCCTTAGCTGGCCCAGAGTCAGCGCATCAGGAGCGGGTGTATTGGGTTTAGGGTGCAGCGCAGGGCAGTTGAGGACCACGCACCCCTGTTTCTTACTTGAGGGCTTCAGGTACTCTGTGGCTCCGCCTGCCAGGACAGCCCTGAAGGCTGCAGCACGGTCCACTCTGACCCTCAGACCTTCACCCATCACTTCCCCACTGGCTACAGGGAGAACCCCACTGCCACGGAGGGACAGGACCCTGGACATCACTGCTGGAGGGACCTGGGTGAATACAGGGAATGAATACAGATGCATACTTATGTGGCATGAGAATGATATGAGGGGAAAACCCTGAATTTCAAGTAATTACCTTTGCCAGCTTCTAGAGGTGGTCTTATACACTATTGTGGTATGCTACTGCATCAGTTGATCTTGTAAGATGTATTATTTAAAAAGCAACATTAGTATGTGGAATTGGCATTTTGACATTCTTTTCTAGTACTAGGCCACTTAATACTTTCAAATGAGAAATAGAGCAAATATGTTTTGGTGTTGCTTTTAGCTCTTATCCTGAGATGTATATCATGTCAGGAAAAAAACTTAACTGTATTGCAGTGGTAATCAGTGGAAGAATATTAGAAAACTGATATCTGCTTCAAAAACCCATATTAGTGCTTATCTAATTTATAAACATTCTATGTGCTCATGATGCAGAGTACTCCATGTACATATACTACCATTGTTAACTGTTACATCCCAAGACTTTGGAGTAGAGAGAGGTAACTAGAGAGATTTAGGGTACGGTTGAAGAGTAGTTAGGTTCACATTAAAGTAAGTGTATATCTATATCTATGGGGAAACTGATTTCACTTCACCCAAATCTACTCCCGAGGTTTGGCATGTAATGTTAACCAATCTGAGCAGTGAGAATTTCCACCCCTCACTCATACCCATGCAGGCACAGAAGAACGGGCAAACGCTGCAGACAAAGGCCCCAGGTCAGCCCGGGCTTGAACCCAGAGGAAACAGCACTAACCACTGCACCACCAAACCACCTGTGAGTTTTTATTGGGAATATTCAGTAACTTCACTCATATTCTGTAGTGTCACCAAAATCATTTCATATTAATGGCCATCTGCTGATTGTATTACAACACAATTTGGAAAAACAATTTTGGTGATTTTTTTTGAGGGGTAAGATATTTAGTAACTTAAGTAACAGTAACGGTGTTAGAGAGTAATGTCACCAATATCGCTCATCATTATGGACAGGTTAGAAACTAAATGAAAATGTATTATTTTGTATGTCTGAAACAGCATCAGGCAAGAGAAGCAGAGCAGGCTGATGAGGGGAAAGGTGCATCTTCAGTGTCTCAGGTGATAGTCTAATTCGGCGGGGGGGAGGGGTGTGTCCCTACCAATGCTGAGATCAAACCGACCCTTGTATATCAATATTTATCTCAGACTCGGCTTCATTTACACGCGGTTAAGAGGAACCAGCCGGCCGCGAATAAGCAGATAGTTCCGGTCGACTGTTCCTACTGGCTAAGTCACATTTGAAACGCCTTCCGTTCTTTTAATATTACTGCGCCACACAAATTCACTCGCACCCTCGCAAGCCTGATATACTTACAAGGGATTATACTTCTTAGCGGAAGGGTAAAATAGACTTTCTTAGCACGCATGAGGTTTTTACCTGTATAGCTTTGTTCATATGCGGTGAAAAGAGAAACTGGTGGTGACAATTGTTTTGTTTCAGTTAGCGTTATAAATATTTCCTGTGTATCTAGCAATAACTGAAGATAAGACAAAACACCGCACAATGAGCATAAAACTCATTAAAATGCTGGCACTCCCAACAGGTAGCCACACCAACCTGTCCGTCCGCATACAGCGTGTTAAGTATCGTAGTCGGTGACAAGAAGTCCCTGTTTCGCAGATTTTTGGCGCTGCTCTCTTTGAACCAAAGCTTCTCCGGGTCAGGGAATAGCCTGTCACCGTTTTGCCGGCTGGAATGGGAGACGGTTTCACGCGTCCCTTTCAGTGCAGAGCTGAGCGCCCGGACGGTAGGAGTGATCCGGAGTGATGAAGGCTCCTCTACATTCTCCATCACCACCACCACCACAACATAAACAGGTGAGCTTGCTGCCACGCTATATCAGCACACCCACATTCTGCTCATATCTTCTGTAAAAACGCCGTGACGTCGATTAATGCTGATGCAGGCTATGCTAAGCGTCAACAGTACAGACTACATGCGATATTGCAGCCGCACGGTTGATCACTGATCGATGTTGAATATTGGCTGTACAGGGCGACTGCATTGGCTGTTTTTCATTGGCGGAACTAGAGAATTACAACCCTTGTTTCTGTCGAGGTGAAATTCCGTGCTGGACTGGTGCAGTGTCACTAATAGCGCTTCATAACATAATTGAATAATATAATTTAAAATAGTCCTAGTTCTTTATACTGTAAGGTCGTACTTTATGTAATCGTTTGTGTTTGTATATGCACCTAATCCCTGTTACAACATGGAATGTTGCTATAGCCATACTGGTTGTACGTAAATTTGTTTTATAAACACATACGGAAAAAGGCTGTCTTCCGGCGTGTTCCTTCCGGCGCAATAATGTGACGTAAAAGGCGCAACTATACAAGGCAGGTTTTATAATAATAAGTTGAGACGCTTCGTCGGCAACGTTTTCCAAAAAAAGAAGATGCACAACTGGCAGGAGAACGAAATCAAGGAACTTTTGACCCTTCGGGGGTCGGACGCGATCCGTAACCAGATCACGGGCACGGTGAAAGACTCCGTAGTTTACAACAGGATGACCAAACTGCTGGCGGAGAGGGGGGTGTACAGGTCACACATGCAGGTAATCAGCAAACTGAAGGCGCTGAGGAAGCAATACCTCAAGTACCACCAACTGAAGACCCGCTGCGGGAGCGACCGCGTAGACTGGCCATTTTATGAGCAGTGCCACAGATGTTTCGGGAATACTCCGGTGGGGAATCCGATGAAACGGTCCAGGAATCCCACACCCCCACCTGCATCCACGACCTCGCCGCCGCCTCCTTCATGCACGTCGCCACCTGCCATCAGCGATGAGCAAGAGCAGGCTGCAGTCGGCCTCTGGGACGAAGTGGACGAGAGGGACATAAACAAACACTTGGGTCCAGTGGAGGCAGAAGACGATGAGGACCAGTACAGCCCATCAGAACAGTTCCACACCATCAACGCAAGTAAGCGTACGTGTCTCTGTTGTTGTCGTGTTTAGACATGATACCTGGATGATCTGTGGTGT